GATAGAATGCCTCATTTCCAGTAAAAGGGTGTCTGGTTCTCTGCACTCATCATACGAAACACAGCAGCATTAAGCTGCTTTTTTACGCTGTTATTCTGTGAGAGCGTGGTCCTTCCCCGGTCGAGCCGACCCATTCGTGCTACAACTATATTACTAATATAGCCGCAGCATGGCTGTAACACGTATAAACTTGTTTGATAGTGTGGATGTGGTCTATAGTACTGTAGTTCTATAGTACTGCCTGTTCCATCGGTTGGTTTTTGTCTAAGACCCTTTAGAAGAGTTATTTTTTCTAGAATTAATTTTGCGACTATTTTTACACATTTGATATTAGGCTAATTGGTCCGTAGTTGCCGATGTCATCTTTGGTCCCTTTCTTATGTAGGAGAATGATATGTGATTAATTCCATTGTTTTAGGGATGGTGCCTGTTGTTATAATATCATTGAATAACTTGGTTAGGATTGGGCTTATTTCTTCTTCGGTGCCTCTGATTAGCTTATTTGTTATATTGTCAGGTCCTGGAGCTTTTCCTAGCTTCTGTGACATGATGGCTTTCTGTACTTCCTGCAAGAGTATTGATGGGACTTTTTTATAACTAGTATTAGGATCGTCATTGGCATTATTTTCTCGATCGGTATCATAGTTCGAGTAAAGAGTTCGATAGTAGTCTGAGGCAAGGCTCTGGATTCTTCTACGATTTGTTACTTGTTTGGATCTGTTGCTTTTTAGTTTTGGTATCCATTCCATTCCATATTCTCTTAATTTCATGAAAGATTTTCTTGTTCCCCCTGTTCTTTGGATTTCATCTTCTCGTTTTTTCATTCTTCTTAATTTCCTATCCTTTCTTATATTTTCGCGAATGTGTTTGCTCAGTCTAGATATTATGTTACGGTTTTCTTCAGTTTTTGATTTGTCTGTCATTAGTGCTTTTCTTTCTTCTCGGAGCTCTATTATCTTCTCACCAAACTTCACATCTTTAGTTACATTTACTTTCCTCAATTTTGATAGTTGTTTGTCCATGTAATCATATTTTTCTGTGACACTTCTGTCCGAGTTTACCATTTCTTTCAGTGTGTTGATGAACGAAGAATCTATTTTTTCTCTGTGTTGTCCTAATGTCAATTTATTTTTAATCTTATTTCTACCTGTTTTTGTTAGATGTTTTTTTAACGGCAGCATACCATGCATTCGTATTAAAATTTAAATTTTTAATAATACGTGTCTTTTTAATAATGTAATCTTGGAAAAACGTTGGTTTATTAATTATTATGAAATCTATTTCGTTTTTATATTTACCATCATGCGATATGCAGGTCCACGTGGTTTTGTGTTTTTTTTTTTTTTTTGAAGACTGAATTGAGTAATATTAAGTCATTTTGTAGTAGAAATTCAATTAGTCGATGCCCGTTTGCACTCTTTCCATATCCATCTTTGCCCATTATCAATTCTTCGCCGGGTTCTCTGCAGCCAAACTGTACATTGAACTCACCCATGACTGTACGGAAATTATGATGGTATTTTTTTAATAATATCAGACAGATTGCAGTAAAAGCCTTCACTTTCACTTTCTAGTGGTGGGCTAATTCCGTGGGTGCGTATGCTTGTATAATTGTCCACGGTTTTTTGTATCTTGGCATATTAATGTTGAGTATTGCTATTCTGTCTGAAATATCTATCAGTTCTTGTATATAGTTTTTCAATGCTTTTTTTAATTAAGAAGCCCACTCCTCATTGGCCTGCTGTTTCGCCTTTCTGATGTAATATGTAATCGTTTCGTTCTTTTATTTTCTCATCTAACCTTCTCATTTCACATATGGCTAGGATATCAAATTTTATATTTTGTACCGCCTTTTCCAATTCGAGTAACCTTTCTTGTGTTTGCAAAGTTCTTGTGTTGAGTGTTGCAATGTTAAATGTTTCACTTCTTTTTGCTGGTGGGTTTTGGTCTAGTGCTCCCGCGGAGACCAGCCGTTGTGGGAGACAATCTACTTGTTGTAGCCGTTTCTGTTTGTTTCCGGTTTTCTATGGCCTAAATTAGTTTTTTGAGGAATTTAGGTTGTGATCAGATCTTGTTTTTTCTATATAATTTAGTAAGTTTTGTCTAATAGTTTCATTTTTCTGTATTTTAGTACGAGATTGGTATGTATTTGTAGCTAAATTGCTTATGATGTTTTTTTTTTCTGTATTGCTTGGTTGGGAGCATCTGAAGGTTCTCTATTTCTTTTTTCACTACTATTGTCCTCCGGTTTTATCACTATGCGTTTGACATGTTTTAAATAGACAATGTTTCCTTTCATTTTTTCTTTTTCCACTTGGGATTGTAGTTGTTTACGTTTTTTCAGAGTTTCCTTGGAGTAATCCTCTTTAATTTGTATATTTAATGGGAGATTGAACTTGTTCTTGAGCACAAGATGTTTCTTCCAATGGGTTGTAGAGGAAACTACAACTGGTCGGTTTTTGTTTTCCGTCTTTCTTCCGATTCTATGTACGTTACTAATATCTTGGCTATTCATTTGCAGTCCTAACTATTCTATGCTATCTTTTATATAGTCTACTAATTCTCGCTCAGATTTTCCTATTTCCTCTACACCGAAGAAGACTTGGTTATTTTTTCGTTTCTCTCTTTCTATGTATTTAATTTTCAGCTCCGGTTCTGATATTTTAATTTTGAATTTGTTTACTTCAATTATTGCATTAATTTTCTCGTCTATTGCCTCCATGACGTTCTTGGTTACCGCCTGTGTTATCGGGTCGGCATGTTTATCCAATTTCTCGTCAAATTTTCGTAGAAGTAGTTCCATATTTTTATCCAGTGGTTTATTACTCTGGTAAATTTCTAGTTTTGTTGTGGTATCACAGTTTTTTGAGGGATTTTTAATTAATTTACTTGCAACCCCCATGTTGATGTCGACTAGCGTCACTGTCAGATGTTGTAAGGTTGGTACTATGCAGGTGACGAGCCTATTCGTCGCCTCAGTGCTTGTTAGGCTAACAGACCATTTCAGTAATTTTACAGGAGCAATGTTTTTTTGTTTTTCTATGTTATGACTCAAATAAAGCCGTAATGTTCGGTAGTTTCTAAAACTATGGCATATCTGGGCTTCTAATAATCCGTAAAAATAAAAAACTTTTGGCCTCAACATTGTGTAAAACCGGTTTCAAAATGGATATTGGACAAAAAACGAAGCTATAATTACGGTAATGGATATACACTACATTTCTTGGGATGTTAGCCAAATAGCAACCAAAAGTATTTTGTGCTTGTTTGCCATATAGCCTCGCTTTACGATACAGGGTGTGAAATGAAACAAATCTACTGCGAATCATTATTGTATATTATATAAAATTAATTAAAAATTTTATGAATCTCTTGACTACGGATCTTATCTAACAGGCTTGAATTAAAATTAAATGTTGAATTTTAGATATACTACCTTTTCTTGTATATCCTTCTTTTACAGAGTTTCTACTTTTCCTGTTATTTCAGATTTTTTAGTAGTTCCTTTTTTTCTATCTTACCTGCTTTTCCTTTATTTTCTTCTCTCCCTATCTTACCCACTCTTCCTGTATTTCGTAATTTACCTGCTTTAACTGTATTTTCTGGCTTTCCTTCCTTTCTCTGTCTTTCCTGAGCGAGTGGCTTCTTCAAGGCTTTTAGTATTATAGTTTCCATATATGTTTTATCTTCGTCTGGCATATATTTGTATGAGCTACGTATGTCTTGAATTTTTTTTTTGTGTCAATGTACTTGTTGGTGCCTTAACGGTTACATCACTTAAGATGTGAACCTTTTTTTTATTGATGTCCATGGACGTTGTGGGCCCTTGGAAACTGGTTTTGTATTGCAATATATTCCACTTTGATTTATTGTAAATAATGGTCTTTACTTTCGAGAATGGTATTTGGTTAAATCCGTACTTGACAGCTTCTTCGTGGTAACAGTGGAAATCGTCATCGACCATCTGGAGGAACTTAAATGTTAGAGCCTGAATGATTTAATTTTCAAAACTGCTCTCATTAATGACAGTGGGCTGAATATTTCCTGATGCCGAAGATTTCGTTCAATGAGACTGTGTACTGCATCGACCTCCTGCACATTTCCATGCCCTGGCTCGGAAAATTTTTGGGTAATTTCGGTTACCTGTTTTGCTTCTGGTGACTGTAAAAATTTTATTATGGCAACACTCATATGTGAGTTTCTGTTCTGGGGCACGCATGAGTCGGACCATAAGATGAGCTTGGTAACTGTAATAGGTAAGCTATCCACTACGGATTTAAGAATTTTAACTAACGCACTTGCTAGGTCATCACCGCTTCTTCCGTTTTTGGTCTCGTCCCACATTGCGTTAGTTGCAGATTTGTTCAAATTGCAGTGGGCTGTCAAATTATACACTGTTAATTTACTCGTGTAATAAAAACAGGACATGTTGGCTTTTGGAAGAGAAAAAATGTTTTCTAAATCAAATGTGACAACAGCTGTTGTCTCATTTATTTTCCTGTCCTTTCCTCTTTCTCTATTGCCCTCCTCTTTTCTTCTTATATGTTCGCAGTGTTTTATCGTTTGTTCAGCATTAGGAATTTTGATCGCCTTGAATTCAGAACACGCATCGCAGGCGTCTTTTTTTGGGTGATGAAATGCTAAATTGAATTTTTCGTTAAACACCTTCCGGTAAATGTTTTCTTTCACTGGTTCTTTCGTCGACTCTACATAAAATGAATACATTTTGGCGATTGATAGACTTTTTTCGAGGTACTGTCGTTTTGTGTTAGCTCGACAAAAATGTGATTCTTGTGTGGGAAAGGACTTTATGTGCTGTATTACTTCTTCTATTTTGTTTTGTGCAGTCTGCTTTTTTATGTGTTTTCCTTTAGAGGGTGTGGGAATTAATTTCAATGGGTTGTTATGAAGTTTTTTGTAGAAATAATAAATTCTTTTTGCCGATATATCCAAAGTACCACAAAAAAACTTCTGGCACACCTTCACTTTTTGCTCATTTTTTAAAAAGAAGTACTGATATGAGAACTTTCTTCTGCTTCTGTTCTTTTCCTTTGTGAGCATACCCTACATGTAAATTCGTTGTAATATTTGTTTTTCTGGGCATCGTTTAATGAATAAAATGCCTTTTTCAAGTCCTCTCTATCTTGTTCTGTAAACTTTGCTGAGCAGTTGTATGCGCACTTTTCGTCACATCCAGCGTGAACCTGTTTCGCTGGACATTGTTTTCCTTTAATATTAACATATTCTTCCCCAGCTTCTCTTTTTTTTTTCCTTGCAATTCTTTGCCAATTTTCAGGGCGCCTTATTCTCTTTCTTGAGGTTTTTTGTTTTACGACATCTGAAGCGTCACTAGCATTACTATTAATCAATATGATAGAACTTTCTAGTTCTAGTTCTGAACTGCCAGGGCAAACAATGTATTTTTTTACTGACGTTATAGTGTGTTTTTCAGTGAATGTTTGTTCGCCTTCTTCTTGATAATTTGGAGCGTGTCCGTTGCCGTTTCTGCAACCAATGACATTTTTTGCGCAATCCGCGGTAAGTATTTCGTTACCTTCTTCAACGGTTTCGGTCTCTTTACAGGCCATGAATAACTTTTTCTTAACTCTGTCAACCCTGAAAAATAAATTTTTAGTTTTTATTTGAAAATTATATTAAAATTTAAAATGGTACCCATTTTAAGTTTCTACAAACAGTTATATTTACCCTACTAATATTATAAATGTGAAAGTTTGTGGGGATAGAAAGGTGGATGTTTTTACTCTTTCACGCAAATACTACTTAACGTATATGGATGAAATTTTGCACCAGGATGGCTTATATCTTGGGTAACACATAGGCTCTCGAACTCTCACTTTTTTGTCGAAAAGTCGACGGGAACTATGCGGGTGAAAGCGCAGGCCGCAAATATTCCTTTATATTTTATTTACCTATACTTTTTCGATTATCGACGTACGGTTCTTTTTTATTTTTAACCGACTTCTAAAAAGGAGGAGGCTATGTATTCAATGCGTATTTTTCGTTTACAAGTGAACTTCAAGTACCTTGGTTTCCTAGTGCAGTTCCATATGTAATTCTATCTTGTTATTGTGATTTCTTTGTCAAATATTTTTTTTTGTATTTGTATTTCTTTTTTATTACTAGCTGTGCCCCACAGTTTTACCCGCGTAACTGCCGTCCCCAGATAACTGGAACAAAAAGTAGCCTATGTTCTTCTTCAGGGTCGCATCTATCTATGTATCAAATTTCATCAAAATTGGTTCAGCGGTTTAGGCGTGAAAGCTTAACAAACAAACTCACTTTCGTATTTATAATATTAGTTAGGAGACATTTATACACTCAGTTCAAAAAAATAAAAATGAATATTGCATAATAAAATAAAATAATTTTTATCTATTATATGAACATGAACTGGCATCGCATAGTTACAATCTCGTATAATTTAAACGAAATTTAAAAAAAACAAATCAAACAAACTAGACCAAACAAAACCAAACCTACAAACCTCTAAGCCCCTACAAATCCCTAAAACCCCTTCCAACCTTGAATCTCTTAATAACGCCTTCAAGCGCGTACAAACCAAATAAATAAACTAAACAAACGAACAGAACAAACAAAAAACGCGTACTTCCTGTTCCCATGAGAAAATTAAAAATTCCCACTCATAAAGGATATCCTAAATTATTAAGGATCGAATTAACTATCTTTAAGTGTAAATCCCGTCTAAATCAGTTCAGACTGTCCAGAAATTCGCTCGTTTGAAAAAAAACGAACAAACTATTCAGCGCTGTGAGTATGACAGTATGATAAAAGTATGGTTCTAAACCATTCTGTATAACAAACACAAAATAACCAAAAATAATACCACAATGATTAAAATCAACTTACATTTCGTAGTATGCAGTACTGCTCACATACCGTTTTTCAGAACTGGTCCAGGACATAATTTTCAAAGTTATTCAGACACTTTCCACCTCGTTTTACTTGTAAATTTACCGAAAAACTTGATAAATCTCGCAGTTCTAACACCGTTTCGCGTCGCAATAGATTATAGCTAAACAATATGGCGGAGCAGCGAGGTGTGACGTCATGAGTGAGCGGGCCTGTGATTGGTTGATTTGAGGATATACGGCAAACAAGCTCGCAGGAAGAATTCCGCTATTGGAATGTTGGTTCATTTGTGGTGGTAAGCTATACAAGCACGAAAATTAAAATTGTAAGTGTGGATATTGATTTTTAACATCGTCTTTTACTCGTTTATTGGTATAGTTACGCGAGTCATTCTTGATTTAGACTGTGTGGAAATTGATTCTTAAGCACGTTACATTCAAAGGTCATTTTCGTCTAAATTGGTCTGTTGGCCAAACAAGCACTGAGGCGACGTATTGTCTATTTGTTAACGTGTTTTAGGTTATAACAGGGATTGCATGACCGAAAAATTATGGATTATAACGGTTAAGGGTATGACGTCATACTTTTTTATTGCGATAGCTTAAAATTACGATACACAAATTTTTCAGTACCGAAAAATGTGTGTACCGTATATATTTTTCGCTACTTTAACCATCAAGACAAAGGTTTCTTTCGGTTACCGCCAGCCGACCGTGACACCCTGCTGACCCCGCACCGCACGCACTAGCAGTATTGATTGCGCTTCAAAATTACCTTAGCTTCTTATAATATTTGGCGAAAAATATATCATGTTACTAAAACTGTTCGGGGCAAGCGGAGCAATAAGACCAAGGCGACCCCTGTCACGCTATCAGTGAATTTTTGCAACATCAGTGGACTACATTCAAAACTTAACGCTGTCCACTACCATCTGGAGACCTTGCTCTTTTTAAGTGAGATTCAGGTGTCCTCCAAAGCTGATACCTCATATTTCTCCTACCCGGGGTTACAAATTAGAACACTCCTTTGTGCCCCGGGCTGGAATTAGCGTATACGTCAGAAACGACATCTGTTTTCGACGCCTCGGCAGTGTTGAAGGTACATGTGGTGTCCATCTTATGGCTGCACGTAGGCAGCGACGACCTCAGCGAGGATTCTTCGCTTCGAGTCGCTGAGAATCTCTTAGCGATTTAGCGACGTTGCAAGTTCTCTCAGTGAAAGAAATTGCAACGTCGCGTCGTACTCATTCGTGCCACGCGATATGTTTCGTTACCGAAATAATTTCGGTTATGTAAAGGTTACACAAAGTTGTAACAAAACCCCTTAAAAATAGCGCTGTCTCAAATGGACATATGAAAAACACCAAGTCTTGATACGAGGGCGGCACTGAAAATTTCGGGAATCAAGGAAGTGACACAACATTACTATTTAAAAATGTATTTATTGCTTTTCGAAGTATTCTCTGAGAAATTTGACACATTTTTCCATACGATGGAACCAATCATTGAAGCAACTATTCCATTCGGAAGTTGGGGTCTCCAAAATGGCCGTTTTGTAGGCGTCCACAGCTTCTTCAGGTGACGAAAATCTCTGTCCACGCAATTTATTCTTTATTTAAGGGAAAGTATAGAAATCATTAGGGCTTAGGTCGGGTCTGTACGGCGGATGGTCTAATAATTCTATGTTTTCTTGCTCTAAAAACTCTTTTGTTCTGTGTGCGGTGTGAGAACTCGCATTGTCGTGATGGAGGATGATGCGACGGTTGCAGTTCTCTTTACGGAGTTCAGAAACGACCTGTGGCAAACAAATGCTAGCATACCATTCTGCATTAACCGTTCTTTGTCCCTCAAGAGGAATAGTCGTAACATGGCCGGTTTTGGAGACAAACGTGGCCACCATTTTTTTTGCAACACTCCGTGAACGAACAATTTTTGTTGGCTTTAACTCATTTTCGAACACCCAAACTCGTGACTGGTTTTTTGTTTCGGGTTCGTACGCGTATATCCAGGATTCGTCACCTGATACGATGTTGTATACAGCATTTGAGGATCCTGCGTGGAATCTTTGGAGAGTTCTGACGCACCAAGTAACGCGAGCCGCTTTTTGCTCTTCACAGAGCGAATGCGGTATCCATCGGGAAAACAACTTTTTTACACCTAATTGTTCATGCAAGATTATTTGTATTTGACTCATGCCAATGTCTAAAGTTGCCTGAATTTCGCGGTATGTCACATGTCGATCTTCCTCAATCAGCATACGCACAGCATCAACGTTTTCTTGGGTGACTGCAGTTTTTGGACGACCTTGACGGGGATCATCACTGAGCTTGACACGTCAACGTTGAAATTCAGCAAACCAGCGATAAATTGTGGTTTTGGATGGGGCTTCATCACCAAGTGCAAAAATCATCCGGTCAACACACTGTTTTTGTGTTAAACCACTTCGAAAGTCATAATAAATCATCGCTCTTGAATTTTCTCGAGTCAATTCCATTTTCTCAACGACTAAACAAGTTTGATAAAACCTTGTGGCAAGACCGAGAATCTTTTTTTAAATAAATAAATGGTATTCGATTTTTTAAAACCAAGGAGTTTTCAATTAAAAATATTTTAATATGACAGGAACAGTGGAAATATTCTATTCCCGATACTTTTAGTGCAGCCCTCGTAATAGTTAATAGTTTATTGCGATTATTTTATAACACACTTTTTAGAGAAATGTTGTCTTATCATGAGAACAAAAAGAATATTGTACAGCAATATGACGATAGTGACACAATTATTATTAGTATTAACGGCCGCACTATGATTACTGATTCTAAATAATTTTAGTCTTTGTTTTGTTAGAATGACCCTTGAATAATGTTGTTCTCACTGTTTTGCACTATTTATGACTTATTTCACACGGGAGGTCTTTAGCGTACTTGTTGACACTTTAGCCACCAAAACCGGAACCATAGCATGTAGTTACAGTGTAATAATATCTCCTACACCATATCTTTTTTTACTTGGAGTAGAGCCATACTGCACCTATATTACTGATATAGTTGTAGCAGGAATGGACCGGGGAAGGACCACGTTCTCACAGAATACCAGCGTAAAATAGCAGCTTATCACTGCTGTGTTTCGTATGGTGAGTGTAGAAAACCGGAGAACCTTTTTACTGGAAAGGAGGCATTTCATCTTAGTCCTCAAGGTTGACAACGCATCTACATTTTGATTCGCAATCGAGGATAGATGTAGATGTCTGTGGGTCACAGCAACCACTTGCCATCAGGTGGATTGTGTACTCGTTTATCACTCTATTCTATAAAAATAAAAAAAGCAATGGGAAATATATAATATACAGGGTTATTTTTCAAAGAGGAGCCAAATTTCAGTCTTAAGTTTAAAAATATAAATAATGATATACCGTTATTGCAGTTTTTCGTAATACGAGTAAATAAGGCTTCTACTTTTATTGAAATTATCCCAAATTGAACGTGATTTATGAGCAACAACTACACCTATGCTATGCGCTCCTCGGTGTCCGATTCATTTCACAACGTTTTTGGCGACCGATCGACCCTTACGAATGTGTGCGTGCGTAGTAAAATAGTAGGTGTTAGATATTTATGAATGACAATCAGTTAAAATAATGCATAAAGCTGAGAACAAATTATCGGACGCGTCCGTCAGCCGCGGCTGACAGTCGCGGCTTAGCGGTGTGCACGGTAGTTAAGACGGCGTCTTCGGACGCCTCACTTCAGTCATTCTATAAAGGTGTTTCAATCGAGAAACATGACAAGCAGCGACAGCGAGGACGAATTTATAGAGTTAGCGGCAGCTGCCTTATGTTGACCTCCAAAAAAAAAAAGTGAAAAGGAGTGTTTGGGTCCATGATATTAATGTAAAAAGACTCGAGTATGGTGAATTTCATACATTGTATCCAGACTTACAAATAGATGATAAACGTTACAAAATGTACTTAAGAATTAATGAAAACCAATTTAATTTTCTGCTTAGTCTGACTGAAAATGATATTTAATTCAGCAGCAATTTGCTCCCACACTTCCTGTTTTAAAGTAGCATTTATGTGGCCACGAACACATTCAATTAAATTTTCTTCGTCTGACATGTCGCGAGCGCGGTCGATTCGTTTGTGACGCTCGAAACGTCCGCGGACGCGTCCCGTGGCCTGTGCACATCGTCCGAGGACGCACAAATATCCAGCCGGCTAGATTCTGTTCGGACGTCTGAACGTTCAAGGACGAGCCAAGGGCACGTCCGCGTCTTACGACCGATAGTTTGCACAGTGTAGTATTATGGCTCCAGTACACGTTGGCCGAGCGCGCTTGGCGAGTGCGCTCGGCAGATTTTCGTGGTGCCGTTCACACGTTGGCGTGTTTCATTCTGCGTTGGTAGCTAGATGATGATGGACGTTAGGGCAATCGCGGCCGCTGTCATATACTTATACAGCGCTTCACTCTTCTCAGAGTGAACAAGAAAAAAAACTACACATACAACAATAATACCAGTGTGTCCTTTTTGGGTTCCGACCTCAAAAGGAAAAAAGAAACCTTTAGAGGATTTACTAGCTACTCGTGCCCGCTTCGCTGGGGGTTTTTTCAAAATAAAAGATAGCCCAAAAGAAGCCCCTAAGCTACATTATCCCTGAACAACATAAACGGAGAGATAATTATTTATAATAATATTTATCATTAGGTAGGTACTCTGAAATCGCAACTAAACATGTATTATTTAATGCAGTTAGGCAAGTTCCTCTGGTTTTATTTTTATGTTGCTCATGTTTGGGGTTCCATATAACTGATTCATTGTGAGGATCAATCAATGAACAATGAATCAATATTTACTCCATAATTATTAAATCGTAATGTGTTGGTATGCATATAAGTAACATTAAAAATATATTATATTGAATTATATATTTTTTCATAATATATGATATTTATTTATATATATACATGCGTATATATATGTGTGTGTGTGTGTATGTATATGTATATATTTGTATTGTATATGTATATTTATGTAAGTGCACACTTTGACTACCT